CCCCAAAACCCCAAAACCCCAAAACCCCAAAACCCCTCTAGCATGAAAATAATTGGATTATTAGTGATATTTTTCAGTAGAGATATCATCCTCATCTGAATCAGCAAAATTCATTATAAATTTATTGGCAATATCACTAATTTCATGGTTTGGATGCTCAGTTAGGGATACTAATTTTTCAAACCCACCCATTTCTCTGAATTCTTCTAAGGCATCAGTATCTTGACAGACTATACAGATAAAAAATAACTTACATTCTTCCTCCTTTCGAAGCATGTTATAGACCAAGACGAGACATTCTTTGACAAGGGAAGGCTCAATGGCTCTGCTCAATTGTTGGTATACTACATAAAACAGATTCTCATAAATCATATTATCAAAGCACTCTTTGTCACATGCAGTTATGAATCCTTGGCAGAGTTCAATAACGTGAAGTTTGGTCGAGAGATTTGCAGAATCTAGTTGCCCTCAAATCTTGTAAAGCAGTCCTTCTTCTAGGATCATTGATAAAGAATCTGGAAAAATTGTCACAAGGTTCTTCAGGAATACCATCCCTTTCTTATTTAGAAATTAAGGGTCTGATGCTAGGGATAACTTTCTTAATACAAGGGTCTCAGATCAGGTGCAGTACAATGAGCTTCTCAATAACTAACATGGCTCTTTCTTGGAACTTATGGTACTTCTCTCAGAACAAGTCAACTAATAACTCAACTAGATTCTCTTTTGGATAAATGTTAGAATACCTTGAATTAAAAGGAAGCTCCTCAATAGAGTATATCAGATTAAGGCACTCTAACCCTTCATTGATAATCCCCTGTTTGATATCATTCGAGAACTCATTCACTTCATGGCTAAGTAGCACAATGCTGAGGAATTTTCATAAATAATCAACTTCTTCCAAATTTTCTTTAGTGAAGTTGAATGCTAAATTCTTAATGAAAAACATTAATTTTTCGATCAGCACAGGGAATCCAAGGAGACGGTCGAGCTCAATATTTTCAAGATCCAAGGGTAGTCCTTTGTACTTTATATGTATTATACTGACTCATTCGTCTCTTATCTGTTTGCTTGAGACAATTAAATTTGCTAAAAGAGCGCATGAATTCTTCATTCATTCAGCATCTTCTTCCAAAAATGACACCTGGAGGTCAAGTTTATCAAGCAAATTATCCACGAATTTCTTGTCTAAAATAGCATCGACCCAGTATTGGCTAATTTCAGTACAGTTATAGATTACATTGTTAAACAGGATAGTCACGATGTCTCTATTCTGAGGCTCTTCGTATAAAACCATCAATTTTTCAGCAAATTCCCGTGTCATGAATTCAGGCTCATAATCTTTATTCCACCTTTCATTAACAATGAAGCAGAGGATCTCAAGAAGCTCCTGTCATACAGAGTCTGAAGAGCAATCCAAGAATTTAGCTATAAGCCCCTGCAATCTTTCCAAGGGATTCAGCTTGAAATAGTCAGGTATAAATTCTTGTACAGAGGTAAACTCCTCATGTTGAACATTATTTTTCCATAAGATTTTCCTTTTCTCATTAAACTTCTTCATTTTAGCCTTATTTCCTTAAACTAATCATGAATTGCTCTCTTTTATGAGAAAGACCTCCGTACTCAGGTACAGACATGAAGGATTTAAAGCGGGTTTTTTGAATTGAGTCTTCCATTTTGCGCAAAAATATTATAATTCAAAATATTTTGCTTCTAAAGGGGTTTTGGGGTTTTGGGGTTTTGGGGTTTTGGGG